CGGCGAAGGCAGGTCACGGCAGGAGTGAGATGTGGGCAACTTCGCAAAACGATACGGAATTCTCTTGTATGTAGAGCTATCATATTCCGCTTTAATTTTTGAAATTTAAAAGCATTCATTGGAAACAAGAACAGAATTAGATTATGCCGGCTCCAACGCTCCCGATAAACTTATTATTTCGTGCTGTCCGATACAGATACAACTTTTCATAAAATTATAATAGTTGCAACGCCATCTTGACACAGCCGCCGCCAAGCGACTCCAGCACCTGCCTTCGCCGGGCTCGTCTCCCAGCGACCTGTCTCTGGCCAAGGGGGCAAGCAGCACTCCGACTTCCACTCCGGGGGCCGGAGTTCGGTACCGGCCCGGGCCAGCGGCAGCTGCCCGGCCGAGTCGATTGTTTTCATTTTCATCTCTTGCAAAGGATTGTCTGAAGATTGTCTGAGGCGCCAAATTCTGGTAACCCATTGCCAATCCGCAGACAATCTTCAGTCTAACTACTGGGCTGAGGATCCACTACAGATAGACTGCAGCCTGATCGTCTGACGTTTGTTTGCCGTTTGTCGATGAGGATGGTCAGCCGTTTGGCTGCGGTTTGGCTACCGATAGACTGCCGATTGACTGACGATGACCTGCCGTTACACTGCGCTATACCTACGAATTAACCCTCACCCTCGACAAGATTCAGACAACATTCAGGCTATTACTTTGCCTGGGGGGGGGGTCTGCCGGAGGGAAAGGGGTAGAAGGGAGGTGCCCCTCTCAGCGCTCCGCATGAGGGTACAAGCAATGATACATAGTTAAGTAAAGTATAATTAATTTCAGTTGTGTAAAATGTATCATCTGCTAAAAACACGCACGGGAGCAATGACAGATAACATAGTGAGTTGCACGACTGACAGGTATGCAGTCACGCGTTCTGAGTAGAACCCTATTTAACATTTCGGCATCATTTGTGTTTGTCGTGAATAGTGCCTGGGACGCGAGCGAAACGCCGCCCCTAAGCAACCATGTGGAAACGACGACACGCAGTAGCGCCTCTCGGTGTGGTTGTGTGTCACACCTGCGAGTTGCTCCCTGCGTGACGTCCCCACGGCAGCGGCGCTGTGTCACAACACGGTCACAGTAACGCTTCGCACTCGTCACTCACGCGCGTCACGGCCGCGCAGTAGCGCCTCTCGGTGTGGTTGTTTGTCACACGTGCGAGTTGCTCCCTGCGTGACGTCTCCGCAGCAGCGGTGCTGTGTCACAACACGGTCACAGTAACGCTTCGCTCTTGTGTGACGTCCCCACCTTGGAGCCATTCTTCACGGCAATGTGTCCGGCACGAACGGTTGTTCTTCTATTAGTTACTCTAAGGAAAGCAAGAAGCATCTGACTGTACGTTCAGTCACGCTTTTGCCAGCTGTGCAGAAATGCCTGGCAGTGTGACAAGAACGATGAAAGCCAGGTACCTACCTCCGTTGAAACACAGCCCCGAAGAGCGTTGGCGACAGACAGCTTTTGTCGGCTGGGCAGAAGTGCGAGGATAGATTTCTCATTACTGCTTCTTGTAGTCTCGCGACGGGTACTCCTCGGGATCCACAATGTGCATCTGTTGCTACAGAGCGGGATGGGTTGGATGGGGAAAGAATTGGGAGGGGTTACGAGATTGCCAACCCTCCGAAATATTCAATCCATTTTTTTGAAATTATCTTCCTTAATTATTCGCAATTAAGATATTTTTTTTTGCGCGCTCACTCGTTATAAATCTTTTTAATTCCAAAACTAACTTGGAATAAAAAATAAAAACAAGCTGGGCCCGCTTTTCCGCCAAACCAAGTTGCCAGCTCCGCTTCGCTCCACCGGCAACTCGGTTCGGCAGGGAGCGGGCCCAGCTTGGCCTGCCGGCGGCGTTTGGGACGGGCCTTCGGCCCGTCCCTTCTGAATTTTCATGGTGTAATACATCTTCTATCCGAAAACGGGCCTTCGGCCCGTTGGAGTGACGGCTCGCTTTGGACCATCTTATTAAGGTACCTTTTCTGTCTACTTCGTAATCAAAACTCAACCAACAAAGTATATTTTTCATTCGCTGCGAACATCTTTGGCTGTGTGTGCCGCAGTTAGTAGAATACATGCAAGTTATGCCAAATCCCTTCTAAGTTATTGATGTTTGCTTATGAATCACATAACACATCTATGAAAAGATACGTAACACTAGCCCTAGAAGAAGTTAAATATACTTCCAGGCATACTCTGAATGACTCCGAACGTGTTCGAACAATAAATACATTTTTTTTGGTGTACACGTTTTATTAATGATGTCCCACCATAAAATAAGCCCACTCTTCTGCTTAGAAGAAAATTTTGAACCGACGGCATACTTCTCAGAAAGA